AAAAAAAAAAGAAAGAAATTGGAGCGAGGGCTGGCCGAGCGGCGCGTTGGTTAAGAACTGGCTTGGGACGCCAGAAGGCCCCGGTTCGGATCCCAAACTTGGGCCAGTGAAGCAACGTCCTCCACAACTAGACTGAAGAACAAAAGGACAGCAACTTGTCTGTTCCCCTTCCCCTAGTTCCCCAGCACTGTTCCCATCCCCCCAATTCCCCAATTAAAAAAGAAAAAGGGGAGCGAATTAGCACCGTTAAACTTCCCCTGCGTACCCATTTTTGTGAGCTATATTATTTACACGTTATTCAGTTTTAAAACCTGTATATGGTTTTTTTAATCGTTAATTCCCACGTTTATTAGTCGTCTATTTAAATCGACTCATATTTTTACATTCTTATTTTATACTGAGCTTTTGACCTATTGAATAATTGTATTACCCATGGAAGAATCGCGGCATCAAAACTTTTCAATAAATGTACTCAGAACTTTCAGAGAATAAATGAAATAAGCTCCATTCTCGTGTCAGCGATGAGTGTTTAGGGAAAACCCTTAACACCTGCGCACTTTCAGTTCAGGCCCCTGCAGCGCGCGGTCGCAGGGCGCAGTGCCGCCAGGGGCCGCCAGGGGCCGCCACCGTCCGGCGGGGCCCGGCAGCGCCGCTCTGTGCGTCGCCCGCGCGCAGCGGGAGAGGAACCTGGGCCGGAGGGCGCGGCGCAGTGCATGCTGGGTCGGCGTAGGCATGGCGGCTCGTGTCCTTTCTGTCTGTGTCCGCCGACTGCCCGCGGCCTTCGCGTCGCTGCCCCGGGTCCCCACGCTGGCCGCGGTCCGGCCGCTCAGCACCACCCTGTGCCCCGCGGGGCTCCAGACGAGGCCCGGGGCTCCGCAGGCGGCCTCGCTGCTCGCGCAGGTGACTCGCCGTGACTTTGCTGGGGCTTGACAGGGGTCAGGGACCGGGCCCGCGGCGGCGGGGGGAGGGCCGGGCCGCGGGCCGCGCCGGCCGCAGGCGGCTATCCGGGACATCGGGCTCGCCGTCCCCCCCGCCGCCTGACGGCGCCCGGCTGACCCCAGCCCGGAGGCCGTGCGCCCCGCGGAGCACAGACCCTCCAGACGCCCGTGGGTTCGCGTGCCGGCTGCCGCTCACCGACGCCTCGGACGCGTCTCGTAGTAACCTGGCTGAGCCTCAGGCTGCACGTAAAATTGGGGTGCTGGTCGCTACCTTGTGGGGGTGCAGCGAGGTTCAGGGGAGATGGGGGCAGGTAGAGCACCTAGTGCGGTGCTCGGTAAGCTTTCCAACACCGGCGGCCGTTTTTTGGCCGCAGGGGTAACTTTTCTGGGGGACGCTAGTTACAGGGCGCGGGGGGAGGGAGCCGCGCTCTCCTGGGGCGCCTTTTGCCTGTTTCTGGGCCTCCTGGAAATAGAATCGGAAACAAGTAGGATTTCGGTTTTTTAAAATCCAATGCAGCTTCTGAGCCAGAAACTCTCCTTAGGGCAGTGATTTTTCAGCCCTAGCTGCACATTCAAGACACCGGGGTAGCTTAAAGGAGAAAGAAAAATAAATCCCTTTGCCCCCGCCCCACCCCGAATTCTGATTTGCTCTCTGGGATGAGGCCCTGGCATGGGTTTTTAAGTTCCCCAGGTGACTGAAGGCACCACGATGAAGAACTGCCTTAAAGTGGGACAGACTCCCAAGGTCAAGTTGAGAAACCCCCTTTTCAAACTCAGGGACTTCATTGTAATTCTGATTTCAACCTTGACTGAGATGTTGGAATAAAAAAGAAGGATGCCCCGGGGCCAGCTGAGTCAGAATCCCTAGAGGTGGGGCCCGCGCAAAGGTTTTTAAGTCACCAAGCCCTTCATTAGTGGAGCCTGTGTTGAGAGTTATTGACGCCGGAGTGAGTTCATTTACGGTGCATTGATTGGGCTGTTGCCTGAATCAAAGACTAAAAGTTACCTGGAAGTTAAGGGTTAAAAGAGCAGTCCTGTAGAGCTGCTTGCTGGACGTTTGATGCCTGAGATTGACTTCAGCACAGGCTAAGAGGCAAAGTGATTGTCCCTATTCTTACAGCACTGATACTCAGACTCGGCTGTGCGCACAGATCACCTGGGTTAAGGTACAGATTCTGGGAAGGGCCCAGAGTCTTTGTTTCCCAAGGGCGGCTGCTGCTGCTGGTCCTGGGACTGAGCCCCCTATAGCAGGGCGCTCCAAGATGCCCCATTGCCTCCGCTTGGATTACACGGACAGCACCGGAAGCCTTTGTTTATATTTACGAAGTGGTTTTGACTGAGTGCGCCCAGTTCACCGCCTCACAGCCTTGGTGGAAACCTCTTGTTGTCATTGTTGATAAGTGGGTCAGTGACGTTCCCACATCAGTCGTCTCCTTTACCCACTCTGTCATCGGACTTAGAACAGAGCAAGTGCCCCAAAACTTGGAAGTACGTAGAAATATTCTTGAGAACATTCGTAAAAGTCTTCATCTGCTCTCTTCTGCTTGCTGATTAAACCTGATTTTTTTTGGGGGGGAGGGGTGCAAGATAAGCATTGCTTATACAGACATGTGTACAGGTTTGGTTCATTTGGCAGTGTTTTTATTACCATTTTCCATGGACCTTTGTGAGTCTCAGCGACCTGAGCCCCAACAAGCAAACCTGTTTTCTGTGGGAAATGCCCAGAGCGCTCCAGAGCGCAGACATAAACTCCACTCCAGGAGGTGAACAGCCCGGTGCAGATCAGGGACGGCCTAGGGAGCAAAACCGGACCACTGTTGCCTGCTGGTTCTTCACGGTGTCAGGCCCGCTGCCCTGCGCGCTGCAGCGCTTGCCACATGTCATGAAGGAACCCAGTCAAGACGCTGACACCCAGTTGAATATCAAGAGATTGGGGATGGTCCTTCATGGTGACAACGCTTAGACTGGTGGCAGTAAGGCAAGCCAACCCAGGGAACAGACTGCATTGGGACAACGGTCACGCTCCCTCTTCCTGCCCTTTAGTTGGTAGCCAATGGGGCCAAAGCCAACCCTCCCAGTGTGTGGTCCTTGGTGTGACCTGCCTGAGTACCCAGCATGGTGACTTGGTACCTAGTGGCCACAGAATCAGATGGGACGGCTTCTCTAGGGTCCTAACAGCTTTGTGAATGATGTCCTCAGTCATTTCGGTGACAGTGTCCCTTCCTGCCCTCGCCCTAGGTTCCAGGCAGAGTCCCACAGCCGTGCCGCCAGTACAGCGACGTGCCCCCTCTGACGTTGGAGGGCATCAAGGACCGGGTACTCTACGTCTTGAAACTCTACGACAAGATCGACCCAGAGAAGGTAATCGATGTGGTTTAGATGTTTCTCTTTAAATGAGTATTTAATCACATGGTACAAAATTCAGCAGATCCAAAAGGACATTCAGTAAACAGCCTCCCTGCTCCCAGCCACCCAGTCCTCCTCCTGGGAGGCGGCCAGTGGAACCAGCTTCCAGAGGTTACCATGCATATGCGAGGAAGTGTACACATGCACGTACACGTGTGTAGTGTGTGCTGTAGTGTGTCTCTTGGTGTTCAAACACGGTGGAGGTATACTGGCAACACTGTCCTGTACCCGGCTTTTTAACTCAGCGCTTGGGGTTTTTCTCACAGTGGCATGTAAAACACCTCCTCTGATAATTGAATCTCTTGTGGGTAGACTAGTGGGGCTTCTGTTTGTTTTGAGGTATTATTGACATATGACATTATATTAATTTCAGTGTACAACAGTCACCTGACACTTGCGTATGACTTGATCACCACAATAAGTCTAGTGAACATCCATCACCACACATAGTTACAAAAACTTATTTTCTTGTGATGAGGACTTTTAAGGTCTGCTGTCTTAGCAACTTTCAAATATGCAACATATTGGGTTGTCGGAAAAGTCATGATGCATGTTTGCGACAGATGGCACTAATTCATTTTTGGAAGTGCTAGAGTTATTTGCATCTATGTTATTGCTATGTCATTTGACAGCTGACAGTTCTAGCTTCATTCTAAAAAAAAATTGAGCGATTTGGTTGAGTTTTGGATTTTACAAGTTGAAGATGGAAGACCAAACTGTGCATTTTTGCCGTATTTTACTTTTTTACTTCCATAAAGGGAAGAACGTACGTCAAGCTTGTGAAAAGTTGCAGGAAGTTTACAGTGACAAGAACGTCAGTGCCAATGATGGTTCACGAAATTCTGTGCTGGTGATTTTGATCTCAACGACGCTCCTCGGTCAGGGAGGCCCACCGAGATTTATGATGACAAAATAAAGTCATTGATTGAGTCAAACCCATGTTACATAACACGAGAGATTGCAAAAACATTGAACATCTATCATTCAAGCGTTCATGACCACCTGAAGAAGCTGGGATATGTAAGAAAGCTTGATATTTGGGTTCTGCATGAACTCAAGTTCATTTGATGGCGCGTAAAATATCTGCAATACGCTCATTTAACGTGAGGAAAACGATCCTTTTTTGAAGTGACTGATAACTGGTGATGAGATGTGGATTGTTTACAACAACGTGGTACGCAAACGGTCTTGGTCCCAACGTGATAATTTGCCTCAAACGACATTCAAAGCAGATATTCATCAGAGGAAGGTTATGCTCTCAGTGTGGTGGGATTTTAAAGGTGTCGTGGTTTTCAAGCTCCTATCAAGGAACCAAACAATCAATTCGAATGTGTACTGTCAGCAATTGGACAGTTTGAATAAATCCATCATCCAGAAATGTCCAGAGCTTGTTAATTGTAACACAAGTTTGCTTACCCGTCAAAAATTATTGGAGCTTGAATGGATGTGTTGCCACACCCACCATCCTCGCCTGACCTTGCGCCGTCAGACTTCCACTTGTTTCACTCTCTTCAAAACTCCTTGGATGGTATAACATTCAATTCAGGTGAGGCTGTAAATCAGCACCTTGTTCAGTTTTTCACAAATAAAGACAGGTCCTTCTATGAACAAGGAATTATAAAGCTCACTGAAAGATGGCAAAATATTATCAAACAAAACGGGCAATATATCATTGATCTTTGTTCTTTATATAAATAAATGACCTTTGAAAAACATAGACAAAATATGTCATGACTTTTCCGAGAACCCAGTATATTCACTGTGGTCAGCACGCATGCTCCCCGCCCCCAGGATAGTTGGTGTTTGATGTGGGTTTGTGAGGAATTCGTCCTGCTCATCTCGAGATCTGAATTAAAGGCAGAGGTAATAAACTGTCTGCTATTCTTGAGGGAGAGCAATGTCACTTCTGGGGTGTGGTGTCACAGTCGTTGTTCATAAAGCAGCAGGCAAAATCAGACTCTCAGGTGTCATTCAGAGCAGTCATCAAAGGTCTTAATGAAATATGTAGAGTGAACTCCATCACTAGCTTTTTATATGTTGTTAACCGATTCAGAACAAGGCTAAGAAAGGTAACGTGAAGCACGCCAGGTGTCCGCGGGCACCAGGTAAATGTATGACGTTAGTGCTGGCTCCTCCATATAAAGCCAGTCCAGGTCGTGATCACCACGGCCCACTCAGTACCTGGCGAAGCAGAAGGGCCCCGGCTGAGCTCTGCGTTTGCTGTTCCTTTCTTCCAGCTCTCAGTGAGTTCCCATTTTATGAAGGACCTGGGCTTAGACAGTTTGGACCAAGTGGAGATTATCATGGCCATGGAGGACGAATTTGGTAACGTGTGGCTGAGTGTTGGGTCTGCACACTGATTCGTGATCTGGGTGGATTAAAGGGAAAGGGATGCCGGGAGTCTGAGCTGGGATTGGAGTCTCATACATAAAAGAAACAGCAGCCCCCACCCCCTCACATACACGCACCTTGGTTTCCTGCACACTCCAAGTTATCCTTGTTTGGGACAAGTGAGTTGGGCAACAGACCTGTCAAGGCTCCACAACTCATTTTTGGTTGAATTGCCTGAATAGCATCCAAGAGACTTCGGCTGACCTACAGAGCAGAGCTTTGTTCAAATGTCCCACAGCTTATGCCGACTAGAGGGGTGGGACATGAGGGGTAGGGTGCACACGGCTTCTTTTGGGGTGATGGAAATGTTCTAAAATTGGATAATGGTGATGGTGAACAAGCATGCGAGTATACGAAAAACTATTGACTTTACACTTTAAATGGGTGAATTTATTATGTGGATTATATCTTAAAATAAGGACCAAACATTATACCCAATACGATACACACATTGTCTAGAACACAACTGGCTCACGGCCTAAAGGGGATTCGAGGGTGCTGGAACCTTGTGACATACTCGTGGGTGTCACAGAAGTGGTAGGTGCTTTGCGTTCTGAAGGATTTGCTCTTTCTCCACTCATGTACTGTTGTAAACTTCATTTTTAGGGTTTGAAATTCCTGATATAGATGCGGAGAAGTTGATGTGTCCACAAGAAATTGTCGATTACATTGCAGATAAGAAGGATGTGTATGAATAAAGTACCAGGTAAATAAATAACTTGACTTACAGAATGACATTCTCCCATAGAATTAACCTCCCTGGGGTTCTCCAGGAAAGTAGGACTCAGGACGAAATGGAAAGTGGAAATGCCTGACAGCTCAGCTCTCATGCGGGGCCAGCCTTAGTGGTCATCTTAAACCTCAGGAGGGTTCGGAGCCCCTCACTCCTAATACTCCCTGGGTGTCAGCCCTCATGAGAGCATTCTTGTGGAGAATGCTGAGCTGGGTGACCCCAAGCAGAGACTGCTGTCTCCCCTGTTACCCGCTGGGCCGGCCCCGCCTGCCTTCCAGGAAGTGGGGATGCCTGGCTGATCCCCAGGCACACAGGGCTCAGGAGTGAGAGGACAGACTGGCGCCAGACGCCCGTTGGTTCTCAGCTCTGCCACATCCTGTAATCTGCGATTGTGGGCAGGCTGCCTAGCGTCTGTGAGCCTCAGTTTCCTCACATGTAAAATGGGGATAAAGATGGGACCTACCTGGGGCCTGTCGGTAAATTTTAGCTCTGGTTCCTCAGGCTCCAGGATCACCAGGTGGAAAGACTTTCAGTATAACATTGTGTTAGCGCCTGTAACGGCAGCCACCCAGGTACAGCAGCTCAGAGCACATCAGGTGAAGTTAGCGGCAGCACTGCCAAACAAACGCTGACCTGACCGTGTCTTTGCCAGATGCTTCCTCACTGAGAGAGGACTTGGAAGAGACAGGCGGGCGTCTGGCCGCAAGGACGCAGGATGGCGCTGTGGTCAACATTGACAGAGTGATTCTGTTTAGACTTGTATTTAAATTGTCTAAGTGTTTTTGCCCTTTGAAAATAAACCTATAAAACCAACATTTTTCTCCATCTTCAGTTTTTGAGTGATGTCCGTAAAGTGCCCTTTATGTTGACTCTGCTTAACATTTGTAAAGATCTGTCATCTGTCACTGATGTTTGTGCAGATCAAAAACGTGCGACTTCCCCAGCCCTGCACCTGAAATCGGGTTCTCTCCCATCACCTTCAGGATAAGGAATGAGTGTGTTAGTGACAAAAAGACTTTTTGCCTGAAAAACCTTTTCCTCCATTGGTTTATTGTTTATCGGACGCACCGGTGACACTAGCGCGTGAGTTAGCTTCTCCCTCCTGGAAGGTCAGTGTGACACTGTCCCTTTGTCAGACATCGGCAGTGCCAGCTGTGCCCCTTGGGTCCTGAGCCCTGTTGTAGGTCTTCGGGTTAATGTGCCAGCCGTCGATGAGGGTTAGTTTGCACCTGGCACACAGTAGTTCTCTGCTCTTACTGAGATATGTGGTTTGTAGAAGGAGGAAAGCAAGGGCTTGTAATAAGTAGGTAGTCGTGTCGCGTCACACACGGAGGACTGGCTGAGGGACCCTCCGCTGCAGGTGTGGGTCAGGCCTGGCATCGGGTGCACACGCACACCCACCTCCCGTCCTGGGCAGACTGTTGCCCGCAGTTCCTCCTGTGCCACTGCAGGCACAGCAGGCAGGCGCGCTCCCCTCCCTTTCAGCACTAGGAAGCGTCCCTTGTTACTTCTTGAACTGCTAACAAGGTTCTGGGGAAGTGCAGAGTTGGAGCATCCGGAGGGTCAGCACTCTGTCTCAGGACTGAGGCTGGAGACCCAGCGGGGACCGGGCTGCTTGCTGGCCATGTGCGATGCCTCTGACAGCAGTGTGCCGTCGTTTGACAGCCGGGCAAACCGTTCTGCTGTTTGAACCCCACGGCAGCTGCACGTTTTGCCCCAAATGCATCTGGCTGTTTCTGCCTAAGACCATGACGCCCAGCAGTACTGCCACTCAGGTGATGGCTTTGCTGGCACCTTCACCACACACCTGAAGTGGCCCATTCTCATCGTCCTGCCGCTGTTCCAAGCCCCAAAGGAGCCGGAATAAGGAAGGAAATGCAGAGCATACAGGCATTCCTTGGTGATGCTGCATGGAGCCTGGGGGTTCCCACTCCATCAAAGGCCCTTCCGCTCTAAGAATTTATGGGAGTGTAACCACACTAAGGGGGCGACAGCGGGCCGGGGCCACATCCCCAAGCGTGTGGAGAACAGCAGTCTTGGCGGCCTCCACAGACGCCTCTGAGGACCTGTGTCTGCTGCAGGCGGTTTCCTCCGTGGGAGGGGGGCTGCAAGGCCTGTCACAACCTGCTTCCGTCCCTGTCTCTGCCATGTCCCCTTTCTCACTGTCCCCCAGACAGCAAGTGTCCTCACTTGGGGACAGTCACGTGCCTACCATGTGTGCTGCACGCCCCGCACGTCGCCAGGCATGCCGAGTCCCTCACCCAGGTGAGGCGCGTGCCTCCACTCCCAGGAGCCCCCGCTCCGGTAAGGGACACAGTGGCTCCCACGTGATGTGTCACGTGCAGATCACCAATGTTGCAGACAAGCTGCCGCGACACTGAACTGAGAAGGAAAGGCGGCTAGAATCATTGAACTGGAGTCTGACCATGAGGAAACCAATCCAGAGCGTGGGGCTTTAACAGAATCAATGTGGTGGGGAAAAGGACAGGGCAACTATTGTCAGTTAAAGGAAGCCAGAGACGCGCCACCTTCCGGGGCACGCAGAGCTGGAAGGAACGGGAAGGAACGCAGGAGCCATTTCGAGGACAAAGGGCTTGTGTGTGGGTGATAAGCTGACGTTACATTAGGTATAGTAACTGTTGATAGTGGTGGGACTAACCGTATTCTCGGGAGATTCCTACAGAATACTTAGGGATGAATTATCAACATTGCAGCTGACTTCCAAATGGCTCAGAAAAAAGCCAGAGAAACAGCAAAACGTTCACTAGTGATTAGGTGACAGGCACATGCATGCATGTGTGTTCACTGTGCTCCTCTTTCGGCTGTCCTCTCTGAAATTCGTCAAAAGGAGAAAACTCAGCAGGATCCATGCAACAAGAAGTATGGTGTACAACTGGGTATCCAACAATGAGATTGTTACACAAAAACAGTTTTATGCAATGACAGAAAGATTGTTTTAAGTGAAGACATGATAAGTGGCATGATCTTGTTTCCATAAAACATACCCAGGTGTTAAAGGTTAAGAGGTAGAAACCTGGCTTGTTTTTGTTAATCAGCATTTTCTAAACGATAAATACCATGGACTGTGTAATAAATGAAACATAAACGTACTATTTAAAGTGTGACAACTGGTGGGGGTGGCCGGTTTGACCCTGCATGGGCCACTGTGAGCTGTGCTCTCCTTTAAAAAAAAAAAAGGTGTGAAAACTGGGAGTAGTTTAGCAGAAGCTGAGGATTTGGCCTCGGGAAAGGTGTTGGTGGCCTGGCAGCCAGGCGCAGAGGGCAGGGGACGGATTCAGGCAGGAAGAGCACAGACAGGACCCGGGACATGAGTCGATCGTTCCATAGGCTGGAGAGGTGGCCAGGACGGTCAGAGGACGGCCTTGGTCTGGCAGGGGGAGCGACAGGGTTTTCTGCAGGGGGCGGCAGTCGCTGGTGGCTGCAAACATTGGGCTGAGGGACGAACCTGGTGGTTACTGCGAGAGCCCGTGAGGAAATCGCAGGTGCTCTGGTAAGACCCTCGGAATAAAAAGGCAGGCCTCAGTCAGATGAAAGAGATGGAACTGAGGCTTGGGCTGCTGGTACGGAGCTGTCTGAACTGGGGACTACAGGAGGGTCAGAGTTGAAGGGGGATAGAATTTCAGGCTGAGACATGTTGGTTTTGAGACATCCCAGCTGGTCATGAGCAAGCGGGCAAGGACACCACCGGCCTGGAGCCCTGGGGCTGGAGCGTGAGGTCTGCAGGCACGTCCCCCGCTGCCAGGCTCCCGCTGAGGACCCCTCCCTGTGTAAGCGGGAATGACACCCTCCGCTTGCAGCTCTGTCCAGGGCAGGCATGACCTTGGCTAAGTCACTTCTTGGAGCCGACTTTCCCTCTGATGGGTAAAGTGGGGGTGACGAGGGATGTGGTGGAGTGTTGACAACTCCAACATGTAATGCTTGTGACGTGACACGGGGCCTGGCCAGATGCAGCGCAGAAGCTGACGTCACAGGACTGGATGGCAGCGTGCAGCACGTCCCTCAGGACAGAGAGCTCAGAGGAGCCTTGCCTGGCGCACTGCAAGAGGCCAAGCCCTGCTGGGCAGCCTGCCCGAGCTGCTCTGTCACCTACAGTCCCCTGACTCACAATGACTTAAGTCAACAATGTGCCTTAGATGCGAGGATTCTGTTTGTGGCGGGCAGGGGTAGCGGGCCAGGGAGAGCCCTCTCTGGTACTTTGGGATTCTTGCAGACACGAGTTCCCTTTCCCTGGGGGTTGCTAGTCCGGTGGGACCTAAGTCAGAGGGTCAGGCGCCTACAGGCCCGACAGTCCTGAGTCACGGACGCCTGGAGTCTGTAAGTCTTCACTGTGGGGCAGGAGCCACAGTGATGAGGGGACAACAGGACGCTGCCCCCCGGGGATGCCAGCTCATGTCACGACGGAAAAGGAGTCACGACGGACAAGAAGGCACAGATCGAGATGAGGGGTCATAATGAAAATTAAGGTTAAAGATACATGGGGGAAATGGCTTTAAGGTGACAGGGAAAAGCCAAGACTACCAACAACAGAAAAGTTAAAAGGGTATTAGGAAAATACAAGACTGGGATAAGGATTTGAAAACATATGGGTTACTGATTGGGAAGAAAGTTCTAGAAAATATTTGGTGTGTGTGTGTGTGTTAGTGATACTACCGATTCATTTTCGAATGATGAGGTGCTTTGTTGTGCTAAGGTCTAACAGTGTCCTTACTTGGAAGACAGGTGCTCAGGTAGCCAGAGGTGAAGTGTCACGACACCTCCATGTCTAACATATGTTTCAGCAAAATAAAGTGTGTATATGTCTAGAGGAGACAGGAAGCAAATGTGATTAATATTTATCAGCTGGCGAACCTAAGTGCAAAGTACAAGGTGATCATTGTAGCATATTTCAACTTTCTGTAGGTGTGAAAATTTCCAAAAGAAAAAAAGGGAAAATGAGGGATTAAAATTAGGTAAGAGAGAGAGGAGTAAAAATGGAAGCAAGAAACTTGAAAATTAGCATTTATCAAATGGGGTGAACAGTAGGAAACATTGTATCAGGAGAATAAGACAGGCTAACAGGGCTTTGGAACAAAAACAGCCTTGATAAGCGAGGAAAGGCAGAGGTTAGTCCTGGCTGAGAGCCAGGTGCCAGTGGCGCTGATGGCCCAGGTCCCGATGGGAAAACCTCTGCAGCCCCTACGTGGGTGGGCTGAACACACGGCCTCCTGGGCAAAAGCAGGAAGAGGTCGCCGCTTACCCGTCTGCCTAGCAGGGTCCCCGTGGCAGCTGAAAAACCACCAGACAGCTCAAGGCATAGTAAGATCTTCAGACTGGAGTTTATCTCATGCTCCATCTGGGGAGTCATTCGCCCCATTTGTCTCAAGGTGCCTGCAGGGACCATTCAGAAGTGGGAAACGGGTAAAATCCAGACATCCCCTCTGAGCAGCCGGCAGGCTGAGGCGGGCAGCAGCCAGTGTCAGCACGTGGCAGCCCCAGCCCGCCATGTGGTCAGACTGCAGACCCTAACCGTGGCTGCAGGGTTAGAAGGTGCTGGAATGGTGGGCAAGCCAGGGTGGGCAGCGAGCCCAGAACCTTCAGGAACAACTACAGCGTAGGGGGAGATGCAAAGGTCCAGTGGGACTGGTGCTGGGTCCAAACCAGTGTGATGGCCACAATCACGTTCGTGCCCAGGATTCTGCGTTGCTGCCATTTTGGTCATAGCCCTTCCCCCCGCACCCCCCCTCCTGAGTCTTCGCAGCCAGAGCTGTAGCTCCATCTAAGGTCCTCCAAGGCCAGACGGCCGGGCCATATCC